TGTGCTGGTGACTCTGATGAGAGACCTCATGCCCTGCACACCACCACAACCTGCAATTGCTTCCTCCCCCTCCAGCTCCTCAGCCTCCAGTTTACTTTATCCTGTAGGACACTTCCTGCACGGGCTTCATGCAACAATGTGCTTAGTGTCCTGTAATCTGACAGGCTTTATCCCAGCAGGAAACGAGAGGCCTCTGCCCCTGAGTTCCTAGCTAAATTGGGCTTTGTGCAGAGTGAATGCCATGGTCTGGGTTTCCCGAGGAGCTGTGCACAATGGGGCTGAGCGCTTGGGAAATCCAGATCTGATGTGTTACAGCAGGGGCTGCAGGATGCATAGCAGGCCTTTATTTTTCTGGGTTTGGAAAACTCGCTCAGCTCTGGATGCAGATCGAGCTTGACAGGTTTTCAGTTGGGAGCGAAGTGAGTTTGCCCTTCAGTGGTCCTGAAGCCACGATGAGACCTTGGAGGCACAGGACCGGCAGATAACAGCACTAGTGTGGGGAGAGGAAGGTGTGCAACCTCGCCAAGACATGAGCTTGTCACCCTGCCTGTCCTGCAATGAAAGCTGAATAACATGGGTGAAGCTGAAGCCAGCAGGGCTACGGCTGCAGTCTGTGCTACAAGGAGCCTTCAGCTGTGGCTCAGAGAGGCCAGGAGCTGGGGCTGATCTCTGCTCTCCTCCCACGCTGATGTGAGCTGAGCTGTGCTCCGCATGGGGCGGCTGAGACGTGACTGACACGCAGACTGTGAGCTGCCTGCTTCCCCTGGCTCCGGCCGTGCAATTAGCTTGGCTAACACCAGGCTGGGGAATTGCAGCCATTTCCTGGTTTTTATCACTCATTCAGCAAGTCTTTGCTGTGTTGTACAGCCAGCAGGGACCAATCATGTAAATGTGCCTCTAACTTGGCTTCTGTAGGTCAAACTCCTGCAGGATCGAGCTCTAAGTGTCTGTGTGGGGCTGAAAGGCCACGTTGTGATAACAGCAGCGTGTTCTGCATGTATTGCTGATGTGAAACAACAGCCTTGATTCCCCACTGCCCTTGCAGCCAGGAGAGGTGGTTGTTCTCTGTTGGTTGTGCAATTGGCTGTGATGCTCCTGAAATCGGTGTAATTTCTGAAGCTTCTGTATAACAGTAGATGCTTCATAAAGCATTATCTAAGAGGGTCGAATGTGGAGCATCACTTGCAAGGAGCTATCTTGGTTGATATCTACCAGGACCCCCTCCTTCAGTCTCTCCCCCTTACTCTGAAAGGGATGCAGCAGCCTGTCTGTGGTTTGTAAATCCCCCTGTCTTTGTATGTGAGTGCCTGATGATGAATGGAGCAGTTGGTCAGGTTTTCCCACTAGAGCACAATGTCTTATTTTGGGCCACCTCTATTGTGTCTTTCCTCTTTTCTTCAGTTGGTTGGCATCATCCTCGCCTGCTGTCTGTCCCAGTACATCACGAACAACCAGTATGAGATGGTGTAGCCCCCCCAGTGCACAGTGGCTTTGACTAAGGTACGTCTATCTGTTGACATAAGCCTTGGCTGTGCTAGACTGGGCTTTCAGGGCTGATTGCAAACTCCTAAACCACAGTGTGGGCAGTGTGTGCACTTCCATGGTGATGGAGGGGGTGGAAGCGAGATGGGGGTGGAAGCGAGGGGAAACTATTTCATCTTTATCAAAAACAGAGCATGCAGGTCCCCTGTGGTCTTGCTGGTGCTGCCTGTGGTGCTGTCCCATTAAACTTGGGCATCCACCTCTGGTCTGTCCGTGGCTGCTGCCATTGCCTCCTGCAGCATGCTGCTGAGCCATGCAGGAAGGCATCTGCTGAGCCCTGTCTGCTGCACCCTCCTCCATGGTGTATAACTGTGGGCCTCTAAATGCTGTGTTTGTTAATGGTGTCTTCTGAATGGCAGGCATTCCTCCTGCTCGCTGTGTGGGGGAAGACCACACCACCTGCAGTTTTCCTCCGGACGCTGCCTCATGAAGTCTTGCTTTGAATTGACTGATCCTCTCCTCAGATAGCTCATCGAAACGAGTGCAACAGCTGTTCTGCTGTGCTTGGGGACTTGTCCTAACACTACTCTACTGTACCACTGAGTGGGATAATTAGCGTGGCTGAGGAGGTTGCAGTAGCTGCACTCCTGCGGGTTCTGGACTTCTCTCAACTGCGCCGGAGCGGCCGCTGCCACCATTCATTGCAGCCTTGTTGGCTGTCCTGCTCCTGGGCAGAAGCTGTTCTCACTAAGTGCCTCCCTTGGGAAAGCAGTGCTTTCTCTCATCTCTGAATTCTGTTCTCAGCCCCTTTTGCATCCCTCTCTCTGTTCAGGCTCAATCGCTGGCCACGTTTCTTCTTCAGATGGGGCTGCTGTCCCGTTCAAGCAGTGCCTGCTTGCTGAAGCTCTTTGCTCAGCAAGGTCTCGGCTAGTTGCCAAGCTCTCGTCCTCATGCTGGATTTTATATATTTTTTTATAGTTGTACTTTTTAAAGTACAGGCTGTAGCGATTCTTTCTAAGCTGTAGCAGGGTTTGGTGATGTAGGTCCTGGTGCCTTTACCTTGGTGTAGGTGTCCTTGCACCGAGTCAGCTGTGACTTGATCGTCAGTATTACATGCTGCTTTAACTCGTTTTGTGTATTGAGTAGAACTCTTTTGTCCTGAGACACAATAAATATTAAGATATTTTACTCTACGAAACTGCCCTGGCTTTTCTATTAATCTCCTGGAAATTCTTCTCAAGTCCCTGCAAGCAGCAGCAGCAACCCAGCTGCAAAGTGATGTGCTGACCCCAGGCCAGCTGGTGACCGCTGGGCCTCTGCAGCTCATGTTTCTCAAATACTCACCGGTGCCCTTGTGCTTACAAATAACTTTTGTAATTGAATTTTCTTCATAAAAAAAACGTTGTGCAACTGTGCTGAAACAAAAGGCCTGAAGCATCTCAGCCCAGGAGCTGCTGGAGGAATGCAGAGGCCGGAGTTCAGCCCTGGTGCAAAGTGTGTCCATCCTGTGCTGTCCTGTGCTCAGAGCACAGTGTGCTGCAGCACCACTGGAGCCAGGAGATGTGGATGGAAGGTTTGTGTGTGCTCAGAGCTGCTCTTCCTTGTGCTCTCTCAGTGCTAGGCACTGCTGCCCTGAGCGTGGTGGTTTAATGGAAAGCTCCCCTTGGAAGTGGGAATGTTTTCAGTTCACAATCATCAAAGCTGTGAGGGCTGTGGGGTGGTGGAGTGAAGGTGTGGGTGTGAGTGGCAGCTCTTTGTCATCATGCTTCTCCTGTGTAGGCAAGCTGCCCCAGCACCCTGCGGGATAGGGCAGGTGTAGGGCAGCTTCACTGCTGATGGAGGAAGCTGGAGGGAAGCAGCTTGAAGTGCTTGCGTCTCCTTTGACCTCACTGAATAAATCAAGCTGGTGTCAGCCCCTGCTGGCTGTTGAGAGCCTCGTGGGTTTGGAAGGCGAGGCAGAGTGCGTCAGAGCATGGGAGCAGCTGCAGAGAGTGGAACTGATGGATGGAGACCAAGCAACAACACGTGAGAAGCAGGGCTGTGTTTGGATACACCTTTCTTCTTGGTAAAGCCATGCGAAAGCAAGGAGGCATGGAATTATCCCTGTTTGACTGGCTTTGGTGCCAGGCTGGTCAGAGCTGCCTTTACCCTGCTGGCTTTTTACCTGTCTGGCTGTGCGTGCAGGCGTGGACTTGCATGCAAAACACTGCTTTGCTAGTGCAGGTGGCTGTGGAAATGCCTCTGATAGAGACATCCGTGCTTGTGGGGGGACTCACCAGAAATGCCTGGCTGTCCCCAGGGCTGCCTGCAGTCCCCAGGGATGGCTGTACAGGGAGCCCTATGCACGCATGGCTGAGCAGCTCAGCACATCTCTGTGCCACACACTTCTACAATCAGCAGTCCCACAGGGAGCTCGCTGCCCTGCCCTGTGCTGGGGATGGCTTCCACTGAGCAGTGTGTGCTTCTTGGGTGACACGGGGAGGGCTTTGGTCAGTGACGCCTGTGGGGTGTCAGAGCTGCTTGGCAGCATTTGGCTCCAAGGAGAGCTGAAGCTCAGGAGGCTCGAACAGCAGGCTGTGAGCCCCTGGATTGCTGCAGGGGATGCATGGGGCTAGCCCTTGGGTCAGCTCTGTGCTTTGAGAGTCTTAAATCCTCAGGCGTGATTTGGCTGAAAAGGAGAGGGGCTTTGGGGAGCTGAGCTGCCAAAGGACCTGAGGATGTTTTCCTGTTATTTGTCTAAGCCTAATCACCACTTTGCTGATGCAGGGAGGGAAAGAAACATTCACTTCTAAGCTGTGTGATTGCCTGGGGCTGGCTAAACGGTGGGCTGCTGGCCAGGCCCTGCTGGGAGCTGAACATGGGGATTGGGGCAGGGTGCCTGCAGGGACACAGTGCTGGGGACACACTGCATATGGGGATGTGGAGCCTGAGGGGCTGCAGCAGTGCCTGTGATGAGTACTCAGCACCTGCTGATTGCTGATGTGCATCCTCCTTTGCTGGAACAGGTGTTTTTGTGGGTGAAATCAAAAGAGAGAAAATCTGAGATTTGGGCTGTGAAGGTTGAGCATCCTCCTCAGTGTGGCAGCAGTTTGAAGACTATTTTTTGTCTTTGCAGGCTTTGCCTGTTTCTTGGCTGGGGGACAGCTGATGGCACTCAGGGCCATTTGCACCTCAATTTCCTCCAGTTTTGGTTGCTGTTTTTCTGCTGGCTACCACTTGGGCTCTTTGTGCAGGGAGCCCCGTCACCCTGCAAGATGCTAGGGGCACCTGGAGCTGCCACAGCTGTCAGCGGAGACTCCTGAACATCCCCAAGGGCACCAAAGCTGAGATGTGCCGTGTGTTGTTGACAAGTGCTGGCTCTGCCAGGAGCACACTGGGGACCCCAGCACATTCCCAGCAAGGCGACTCCCTGCACCTGAGTTATGGCTGCTCACAAGGAAGCAGCCGAGCAATTAGATCACTCCTCAGACCCATTAAGCATCACAGGCTGAGACGAAACGACTTTCCATTTTCTTTGCAATCGCTCATATAGGACATTTATTGCTTGCCTCTCAGTGGGGCGATGACGCCAGCCTGGCCCAGCCCTCGGAGCCACGCTCGGAGTCTGCAGCCTGTTTGGGGGTCCCACGGCCTGCAGGGCTCTACCTGGGGGCTCAGTGGGTGTGCACAGGGCTTACACCCGGCCCAGCATGCGTGCGATCCACCAGTTGCAGGGCATGATGATACGGCAGATCACCCTGCCGCCCTGGTAGCAGTACGGGTAGGGGTAGTAGCCCAGCAGCGGCTCGCAGACCCGCCGGCAGTAGCGGTTGGCGCGGCGGCACTGTGCACAGCAGTAGCCCCGCTCATCCCACAGCGGGTGGAACTCCAGCCCGTTTTCTGTCTGTGAGAGAGAGTCAGCTGTCAGTGCGGCCTGGGTGCTGCTGGGCACCCCAACGCGTGGTTCCCCACACTCACGTAGTCGTTGACAGGCAGGTCCTCTTCTGTCAGCTGCCGTGTCCGGCGCTTGGGTCCTGGTAGGGCAGCCTCCATCCCACGCTCATTGCCCCCATCCAGCCAGTTCTGGTCATCCGTGAACAGCCCGGTATCTTCTTCTGTTCTTGCCAGGCCAGCCAGCTCTGGAGCTGTGGGAAGAACCCATATTTACAGATCCCCAGCTTGGACCCTCTGACGCAACGTCATCTGGGGCACTTTCAACCCTGCTGGGTTGTTTGGAAGGATAGAATCATTGCAGTTCAGAAAAACCTCTAAGATCATCCAGTCCAATCCAACCCACCCCCACCATATCCATAGCCACATCCCTCAGTGCCACATCCCTACGGCTTTGGAACACCTCCAGTGATCCCACCACTCCTTGGGCAGCCTGTGCCAGTGGCATCACTGCTCTTTCCGTGAAGAAACTTCTCCTAACATCCAACCTGAGCGTTCTTACGAGCACTTCTGGCCCTGCTACAGCATCTGCTTGTCGTTTAGGCCAGACCCATTGTGACACTGATTTCCTTTGCTGAAATTTTATCACAAATGGAGATGACAGAGGAGATGGGGAGCACAGCAGGGTACTGGTGGCCATGAGTCACTTGGTACTGCATGAGACAAGACATCGTGCCTCCACGGCCGCTGAGGAGGGAGGTGTCTTGGTTGAGGTTTTAAATAAGCTCATTCTGATAGAAATGGGTTAGAGAGTGGGTAATTATGCCAGCAGATCTCAGAGGTTGTGGCCTCTGTGGAACGTGTGGTGAGCAGCTGGAGGTGGCAGCCCCGTTGTGTGAGAGGCGGATGGCTGCTCCTGCTCTGATGTTCATGTGGCGATGAGAATTTAGGCGTCCCAGTTTCCAGCAGTGCTGGCTTCCTTGCAGGTACAGAGGGGTTTTCTGCCTTTATTACGAGGGGGGAGGACACTTTACAAAATGCAGAGCGGTGGGGAGCCGGAGGAGACTAACGCTTTGCAGAGAGAACTGTCAGCCCACATTGTTACATTGGCATATTCCCTCTTGGTTGTGGCAAGCATTGAACTCGTGTCTGAGACTTACAGCAGGGCAGCAGGAGTGGGATAGTAGCAGAGGAGACAGGGGAGGCGGCACGGCAGCTGCCAGCAGTCACCCCGCAGGTATCTGGGGAAGGAGATGGCTCCTTGTACCTGCTATTGGCGTTGGGTGGATCCAGTAGATGGTCACATTTCTACAAATGTTAAAAATTTTGGAGCTCTTCAGGAACTCCTTGTTCTGAATGGGTTTTTCACCAGGCACCCAGACCATGGATTGCTCAAAGTAGGTGGTGGTGATTTCTTCACCCTGAGGAAGAGTCAAATTTGAGAACAGCATGGTAAGGCACCCTCACCCCAGCTCAGCACCCGTCTTCTCTTCCTAACTCTAATGCACATCTCCACTTCAAGCACCTAGATTTGTCTGCCTCAAACCCTGGATTTGGGTCTCAGCAGGTGCACATCTGACCAGCAGCACCCTGCTCTCCCCTCCCTCCCTCCACCATCCTCCACCATCCCCACCTCCACCACCGCAGAAGCCTTCTCCTTTGCAGTCCCTACCATCTGGATCAGCCTTCTGGAGCTCCCTAGCTCATTTAAAACCGAAGATTAAAACATCTCCTCTCTGCTTTGCTCTTACTACTTAATTTCTCTCTCCTTCTGCTCCTGATTTTGTGATCGAACACTTTAATTTATTCCTCGCAGAAATTCTTTGCACGGCCGTGTTCTGTAATTTATACCACATGTCTCTGCCATTGCATTATTCCATGGTGTGTTTTGGCAGGCACTTAGGGGGGAGATATATAAAGATTATTGGATGGGTCTGTGCTGTGCTGTCTGCCAAGGCGGCGCGATGCATGGTGCTGATGGTGGCCCATAGAGCAAGCTGGCAAATGGCTTTTTCTCTCCAGAAGGTGTCTGGAGCTGCATTTTTCTTTTATAGAATTTTTCCATATGGCTTCAGGAAGTCCTACTCAAGAGCCAGCAACACCTGACCGATTTTGAGTTGTTTTCAGCATTTTGCTAAAAGCCGTCCCGTTGGGAAAGCGGCCTGGCACTGCTGGGGCTCCAGGAGGGATTTTCCCCAGTTCGTGTGCTTTTTGCCTCCTTTTGTGCTTCCCCCTCCAAACTACAGAGAACCAGGGGAAGGAGGAGAGCAGAGATTGCTGCTGAAGGTACTGACTGCGTTTCCGAATTTCTCCAAAAGCAGTCAGGCTCCCCAGAAGAAATGGTAGATCTTAAATCTACATTTATTCCCCGGCTTTTACATTTCAGCTCTCTACCTGGGGCAATGTTCTGCTAAAGACTGAAAAGTCACATCCGTTTTATGGTGGTAGCAGAAAAGATCTATTAGCTTCTTATGGCATAATCAAAGAATCTGTGTCTCAGAATTTGGGTCATGATTCAGGGAAAAGTTTCTTGCCCGCGCTTTATTCCAAACACATGTTCTGCTGGCACTTAATTTGCTATGGCTTCCGGGGATGGGGGTTGAACTGACCCTCATCCTGCAAGTGAGCAGGATTGGGGATGGGGCACGGCTGCTGCCCTCGCCCCACCAGTGGCACAGAGCCGGCAAATCCCCTGCTGGAGCACAGAGATGGAGGTAGCACTATTTCCATGCCACACATCAAGCACGCACCTTGTTCAAGCAAGATGTGGTAGGTGAGATTTAAAGGCACATCTGCAAAAGGGAGGCTTGTGGAGGCTGGGGCCATGCTGGCACACCATTTCTTTGTGCAAGATGCCTTGGTGGCAGTGCTTGGTCAGGCTGCATGCAAGTGGCAGAGCGCTTTCCCAAATCGCATTTTGCAAATGCGGCTGCTCTTTTAAACTCATTACTTCTGCCTCGTTCTGCTCTAGAACAGGAGGCTCAGTTCTCAGAGAAAGCAATTTGATTGACTTTTTGGTGATCGCTAATCCTGAGCTGCCTTGCGACCTTTTGACTACAACAGGATTATTGTTCTTGGTCTCTGGTATTGTGCTAAGAGGTTTTTGTCTGTCGGCTGCCTAATCCCGTCTCTTTCGACTTGTTGTTTTCAGAGGCAATCCTCTGCAATAAGATCATTTCATGAAGCAATCACAACTCCTTATTTCTCTATGGCAGCCTGGAGCAGTGGGAGCACTGGGTGCCTCGCAGATTCGGGTGCTGTTTTGCCCACGTACCTCCAGCTCAGGGATCTTGGCCTCCGTAGTCTCAGGTATGACTTTGGTCTGAGTTTTGATGAAGCACTTTTGAAGTCCCACAAAGAAGATGCCAGTTATTCCCTACAGCATCAAAACAAAGAGCAAGAAAGCAGTCACGGCATAGCAGAAGGATAAATAACAGCATCCTACAGGGAGTGCAGCTGGATCAGAGCTTAGTCATATTTTTCCTGTTGATGTTTTTGTGCAAACTCTGCTCAGCAGCAGTGCTAAGACGTACTAACAGGTTCTCCTAAGGGATGTTGCATTTTATGGTTTGGGAGAATTGGGCTTTTTACAAATATTTTAAGGCAGGTAGTCATAAAATTCCACTTTGCTCCCCTTCTCCTTATAACTACCATGAGCTCCAGTTACCATAAATAAAAATATGCAGAAGAGTATTTGACCGTTATGGTTATATGAACATTCAGCCCTCAGTTCCTGCTAGGCTATTAGCTGAAAATTTTGCCATATGTCACTGCACAAGGTAGTTCCCTACAAATTTTAATTAGGTTTCAGAGAGAGCCTACAACATTGTCACAAGGTTTTAATGCTCTCCAGACAGACAAATGTACTGGGTTTGGGTAGATTTATGATGATTGCATTCCTTTGCAGGGGTAAATCCAATAACTAGGTCTTGCTTTTAAAATGTATTTTTCTGGAACTGAACCTTGCCACTATTAAAGCTTACGTAGGCACACATCTCCTGTCCTTTGAGAGTACGCCCAGGTGGTCTGCACATGGGGATTGCTCTCTCTGATGCAGAACAAAACCATCCTGGAGCGTGCTCCGGCAACACCGCAGCATCCTAAGGGATCCTCTTGTTCCTATTGCAGCTGGACTGGGAAGCACATGTTGCATTTTAAGCACCAGCTGGGTCCCATTCCATTGGGGAGCCAGGGACTCCCATAGAGCATCCCCACAACTCCCAGCAAGGAGATGGGGTATGGGCAGGGCTTCCCCCATAAACCCTGCTCACTCACGTTCTTGAAGTCGTGGATCTCCAGGATCTCCTCACTGCCATTCCCACTCCTGAAGGTCTCCGTCCTGGTCAGTGGGTCGATCTCCATCACAATTTTCTTCTTCTCGCCGTGACTGAAGAAGGTGTGCTCCATGTCATAGACCTGAAAGGGACAAAACCACACTGGCTGAGCCCCCACTGCCCTTCTAGTCTTTCCTGTACCCACGCAAGGAGAGGCAGCTCCCAGGGAAAAAAGGCAGGATGAAGGCACGTGCTTAGCTATGGGATAATGGAGAACCTGAATAGCAGCAGGTGAACATGGGGCTAGAAGATGCTCATCCCACACCCATTTATGATAGAATCATTAAGGTTGGAAAAGACCACTAAGATCATGCAGTCCAACGATCAATCCATCGCCACCATGCCCACTAAACCACATCACTCAGTGCAACATCACGGTTCTGGAACACCTCCAAGGACAGTGATCCCACCACCTCCCAGGGCAGCCTGTGCCAATACCTCCCCACTCTTTCTGAGAAGAATTTTTTTCCTAACATCCTATATTTATGTTCCAGGCTGGACTGAAGCCCTGACTAAGGGACTTCACCATCCCCCATCCCCAGCTCGCTGGTTCCATCTCTCTGTGCCTTCTGCTTTTCCTGAGAAGTGCCTCCTCCTGCCTTGAGGAGATTGGGGATCGCCTGCAGATCAAAGCCCTCCTCGAGGGCTGCTGAAGAGCTGCTGAGGAGCTGCAGGGTGTCACAGCCTGCTCCCCGGTGTGTTCGTCCCCGCAGGGAGCCGGGGGAGCAGCCCTCTCTTTCCTGCACAGTGAGCCTGGCAGCCCTCCCGGCTCTGCGGACGCCAGGCCCTTAAAGGATGAGTAGTGGCAGATGCTGTTTGAAGCGCAGAAGTGATCCTGCTGGCACAGTGAGAGCTGTGCAGAGTCTCTTTTCCCCAATCAAATAGCAACGTGCAGAAGCAAAGGGCTTGTCTCAGGGTTTTCCGGGTCAGCATCCCCCATTTTGCAACTTCAGGAGGATGTTGTGGTGCTGGAGCTGGCTGAGCAGTGCAGTAACTACCGGATACCTTTGCCCCTGGTAAAAATGTGAAGAATGATGTGCTCCTTGGCAGTCGCTGGCATCTCCTGTTAGTCAGCAGGAGGCTTTTATAAAGATATATATATATGTCAATAGACTTTATGATATGGAAAAAGTAGTGCAGAGCCTAAGGTGGCTGGAAGGCTGCCTGTTCTGACTGACAGCATGTGCACGGGGCCATAAATCAGCTGTAGGAGGGTATGATCCTCAGTGGTACCTTACTCTCAAGTTCCTCTCCATTTACAAAGACTTATTCATGCCAGCACTATGGCCAAATAACCCATTTGGGCTTGGCTTGCCCTCTGCTGCTCAGAGAGATGTTTTATAGGGCTAAAAATAATTCTTGCTTGCCAGCCCTTGAAAAACATCCCCTTGCATGTCCGTGGTGAGCCCCTCACTGATGGCTCCTGCTTGTGCTGCGGTGCTGGGGCAATGCTGCCATGCTGCAGGCACCTGGGCTGGTGCAGAAGGGCTTTCAGTGCTGACATTCTCCAAGTTCTCCCACACTGCCAGTGGGGCTGAAAGAGCCCAGGGATGGCGTTTGGTGCTGGAAGCAGGACTTTCCCCAACATCTCCTTCCTTGCCAAGATAGCACAAGCGAAGCATCAGTGTCATTTTTCTTGGTCATTTTAAAGTCATTTGCATTGACATAAAATGACTTTAAAAGGGTGATTGCCCACGTGTGAGCTCTGGGTGGTCTCTCCCCTTGGTCACTTGCTACCAGCAACCCCATCTCCACTTGTTTTAGCCACGCTGCCTTTGGCCAATGCTGGGATTTTCCTGTACCTGACCTCTTGCCATTCCCTTGATATCTGAACTGAGTCAGAGCCCATCCCAGGGTCAGCACCACCCCGCTGGCTCACACCGTGCTTCTCGAGGAACAGTGGAGACTTTATAAACGTCTTGGCAAGAGCCCGGCTGCACATATGGCTTTTATTGCTTCTATTTGCGGTATTTATTTCTATGTGCTGATAAGAAGACAAAGCTTCTGGCGCCTGGGGGTCCGCGGGTTGGTGAGGAGTGAGGGGAGCTCACTGTAGGAAAGGGGATGTGCATGGGAATTTTGGGGCTGTCAGGAGTAGGGAATCAACCCCAGCACGGTGCACCCAGGGCCTCCCAGCTGAGCACAGCACACAGAGGGAGCAGGGAACGGAGGAGCTCAATCCAGTTAGCAGGAGCTCCCTCTCCAAAAGCTAATCCGTCTCACCATCCCCTCACATTGCAGACACATTAAAGTAAGAAATACAATCCATGACAATCAATCACCACTGCGTCCTGGCTTTCTCTCCTCTTTATGCGGTGGCATAATGACTTTTCCACCGGTTTCTGGCAAGATAATTGAAATGAAATGGAAAATATTTTCTTACTTGTCATGAAATTTGCTGCCCGTGAAAGAGAGTAACTTTAACTCTTCGTGGTGCAGCTCCGTACCCTTTAATTGTCAGTTAGGAGAGGAATGTGGTGACAGAGAAAAAAGCCAGCCTGTGTAAAGTAAAAGCTAGTTATGAATAATACAAGGCTTTGTAAAAGTCCCCACAAATCCTTGTGGTGCAAGAAAATACATTTTGCAAACTTGCCTGTATTTCAGGGCACAGTTCAATTTAAGCAAGGAGGCGGGGGAGCGCAGTGCTCCGAAACGCTGCCCCGAGGGCTGCACTTACTTGTCTGGATGCTGGGTTCCACAGGTGTTTGACACCAAAGAGTACGAGGATGAGAGCAATGAGCAGCACGCTGAAGAGCAGCCCGCAGACCTTGTACCTGGTGCGGGTCTTCTTTTGGGTCTTGGATGCTTCTGCCTAGACAAGCACAAAAGGACAATATCCAGAGGTCTGCCATCGCTCCCAGAGGGATGAGGACACGAGCACAGGGCAAACTCACATCCAGAAAGCGGCAGTCCTCGGGGCCGTGCTGCGACGTCCCTCCCATGATCTCGGTGCTGGCTGCTCCCTGTGTGCGAGGACGAGCGCTCGAGGTGGAGTTACGCAGGCTCTGGGCTGCACATGCAGTAAGGCTGGCTTCCTGCGGCTCCGATGACGGCTGCAGCCAGCGTTCCCCGCAGCCCGCCTGCCCCGGGGCTGGGACAGGAACACTGGTGGGCGAGAGGGGATGTCGGCAGCTCGCAGGCTGTGGGCGATTCCCATGAGTTTGGAGAGGAGCCCTCGCTCAACTCCACTGCACGGTGCCCATCGGGCCTCTTATGAGCTCCCAGCTGGGGCTCCCGGGCTTCAAGCACTGCCCCTGCCCTCTGCTTCTCCCCCTGCACCATCCCTGGATGTGCCCAAGCTGTGCCAGGGCTCCCCAGGCTCCTGGGGCAGTGGGGATGTGGATATGGGCATGGCAGCAGTGCAGGTGTTCCCATGGGCACGCATCCATGTGTGTGCAAGCAGCTGCGCACACAGCCGTGTGTATGCATTTGCATGTGTGCACAGATGCGTGTGTGCATGCAGATGTGTGCACATCCTGCCAGCACCACAGGAATTCGAGCTCTCCCCGTGGAGGGCCCTGGCACCCCACGCTCACTTTGTGCGGCTCCTGCATCGCTCCGCAGTTCAGCCCGGCCTGGAATTTCCTGACTAAATGTTTTTTTGTCCTTAAAAACAATTTCCATTTGTGGAAATCATCCCATCTCTTCATGGAAATGAACCCGTTTTGAGGAGGGCTTTCAGGACTGCAGTGCAAAGTCTGTGCTCTGAGCAGGACAGTGGCTCCCTGGTGCGGAGGAGCTGGAACGTTCCTTTTTCCCAAGCTGTCTGTGCTAATAAAAACTGTGAGTGCGGGATGCACTAATTAAAACTGTACTGAAAGGAAGAAAACCCACGTCAAAAACCCACATTCGCTTTTTCTCTGGTGAGAAGCAGAGGAAGAAATGGCAGCACTGGTGATGCCAGGACCGGTGCTGCCTCTTCAGCTGCCGCCAGCCGTGTATGCGGGTGTCTAATATGAGAGGCCGGTACTGACAAGTGGCAGACAGCACATTATTCGGGGGGGAAAATCATTTTTTTAATGGGCAGCAATTGCAGTCAGCCTTTGAAAACATCTGAAATATTTTGGAAACCTGAGTGCAGCAAATATGTGCAGCCAGCGCAGCTCTACTTCCACACGTTGCTTTTCATGGGGAAGTTTCGCCTCTGAAGCTTTTGTTCTGAAAACTGAAGGAACTGTTTTGGACTGAAAACATTTTTTGTTTTTTTCCTTCCCTGTCAAAATTACTGTTTCAGAGAAAAACTTCGGAGCTGCTCTACTGAAAGGCGGTTATGATTACAGGAAAGAATTACAGCAGCGCTGTTAACCAGACATAATTGATCCGCATCGCAGCCATCTTCACAATATCCCCCACTCCAGGCGCAGGAAACACTGCAAATACCACTCATAAACCAAATTAGGCATTATTATTTTATTACTGTTGTAAGGTAAATGTCAAGTTTTTTAATGACAATCAGCACAACTCCGGCAGGAGTCAGACGGCTGAATTAACTTGAAGAGGTGAGAACCTCCCAGGGCTGGAAGTTAATAAAACTCAATAAATATCATCACACATGAGGAGCAGGCAGAGGGATGGGGCTCCCACATGCCTCCACTCTCCATAGGCAGCAGTAGTGCTGCCCAGCCCCACATTCCGGGTTTGGTGGCAGCAAAACATGTTTTTGGGGAAAAATGTTCAATGGCTGTAAGATGACAATTAGGGTTTCTATAGGAGAGCAGCTCTGATGTAAATCTCCCATCGGCGCCAATGAAGAGGGAACAACTGCTAATTTTCTTCAAAGCTAATGAGTGCCAGTCTGTATGACGGGGGAGAATTTAATCTGATGCAAACTGAGGAATAGGAGCAATGCTGATATTAACGTGTGGCTAATTGATACCCAGAAGAACATTTGGAATGATTAAAAGGCATTTGATTTCTATACAGGACAATAAGAGGCTCATTGCCTCCTCTCCTTTCTGCACTTCTTGCTTCGGTTTGCCCGGCAAACAATCTCTCACACTGCTGTGCAGCTTGAGTGCTGCATGACATCCCTGGAAATACCATACCAAGAAATTCCTCCCAGCCAGCACAGGAGTGTGAGACGCAGGAATAAAAGCGGCCCTGAACTGCTGAGAGCAGCTCCCCAGAGCAGAGCAGCTCGGCCAGCAGCCTCCATCCAAAAACGAACTGTGATTAATGGGGTGCTCTTTGTTCTAATGAAAAACCCATTAAGGTCAGTGGCAGCATCTCGGAGCAGCACTAAACTGGAACGATGGAGACAGTAAAGTTAAAAATGAGCCATAATATTAATGTGGATAGTGAATTAATTGGGCAATTCCACAGGCAGTACGTAAATCACAGCGTTCCCCGCGGGACAGGGATGCTCCTGGTGCTCACCGTGGGATGCAGCCTCGGCAACCCCGTGCCCCCCAGTCACCACCACCTGGGGGCTGCTGGGGGTCTCCCCACAGGGCTGTGCCTCTTGCACTGGGTAGTGTTGGCTCTCCTGTGCTGCTAACAGCTCGTTAGCCACGGGGCTGATTGCTCCGAGCCCTTTCTGCTTCAAACAAATCCATTCTCTCCAACTTTCGGCAGATGAGAGGCCGCGTATCTCCTCTTATCAACCTGCCACACAGGGCCCTGTTGGAGAGAGGTTTAGATAATTGGCCTATTCATCATTTATTGTTTATCTTAAGTTCACAGCATGGTAGAAAACTCTGGAGACACACTTGATTCAAGTTAAGGAACTTAATCATCGTGACAAAACCACCCGGGGATTTGGGCTTCATGCATGTCGCTCTCTGCTGCAGCGGATGCTGGGAGCTGACAGCCCTCACTGAGGGATGGCACAGATGAGCTCACGGTGGTCATTCCAAAGGAGCTGCTCAGTGATTGCCATCAGCACATGCTTCTCTTCGCTCACCCCATGAAAACCCCGTGTCTCGGCACTACGCTGGCTCCCTCATCAACAGAAGTTATTAACAGAACAGAAGAACTTCATCCAAATGCTGGTTTCATCTTGACAAATAACTGTATGGATGGGGCTCTGGGCAGCCTAATCAAGTGTGTGGCAACCCTGCCCACAGCACAGGGCTTGCAGCTCAATGATCTTCAAGGTCCCTCCAACCCAAGCCATTCTACGGTTCTATGACAATTTCATGTCTCTGTTCTACTAGATGTTCAACAATTCTTCAGAAACAGTTCCTTCATGCATGAGGCTCACCATGCCTACAGGACAAATGCAAGTGGCATTCTTCACCAGGCTCTGAACATCTGGGATGCAAAGATCAACATGGTAATCATGGTAAACAGTGCCCAGCCATTGTAAGCCACTTCTCCCAGTAAGGAGCTACTTCCCACCAGAAGTGTTAAAATGTAATTGAAAGCTACGTGCGTGTTGGTGTTGCACAGAAAGCCATTTTATTAAAGATATTTCAAAGCTGAAAGGGTTGTTAAGATCCAAAGCAATGTTGTGGAGCTGCTGCCAGATGTGTGCACAAGAGGATGAGAACGCTGGCTGCCTGTTGTACTGTGGGCATCTCTCAGGAAGAAATTCTTTACTGAGAGGGCAGTGAGGCATGAGCACAGGATGCCCAGCGAGTGTGGGTGCTCTAGCCCTGCAGGTGCTCAAGGCCAGGCTGGATGGGGCCCTGGGCAGCTGAGCTGGAGGAGACAACCAGCCTGCTCCTCTCCTGTAGCATGCCCATGCAGCTCTGGCTGCTCCCAGCACCAGCTGCTCTCACCAGCAGAGCTGGTGTCACTGGAGCCAAGGAGGCTCAGGTGCCCCTGCTGAGAGTATATAGGGAGTGGGGTGGAGGCTGTGGGGGCACTGCTTGGCTCAGTGGGTTATTATCATGGGTAGGGAGGTTTGGGTACATGGGACAGCAAGATCCGAAGGTTGGCGAGAGGTGACTGAGAGGAAAGCAGAGAAAAGATTGGAAATGGAGGAGGCTCTGATGTCTGTGGATGAGGTGGACTGGCTGCAAGCCGTGTGAAGCTGAACACTGGGGTTTGGGTTTGTGCCCCCTGGCCAGTGCGTGGGGATTCCCAGGAGAAGTCAGCTGCAGCGATCAGGTTCTGTGTGTGTGCTTTTGTCCTCCCGAAAGAAAGCACATTTTTCTTGCTTACTGGGAGTTCCTGTTTGTCATTTTTATAAATCAGTGTTTATTGGCCTAATTATTGTAAATGCAGTGCCCAATAAAGGTGACTGTGATTGCAATATCTGGTAATGAATTTTATAACAAACCTGCTGAGCTTGAAAGCTGCCAGCAGGAGAGACATTATGTCAGGTTAATGACAGAGAGGAGAAATGCTCCCCACTATGCTTTTTCCAGAGCATGAAGGACCTCTGGGGGAGGCTGCTGGGTTCCTGCAGGATCCCCTCATGCTGCAGCCCAAAGCTGTGGGGTTCCTTGCTGCTCCCCCATTGATGTGTGATGACACTTTAAGTATCAGGATGGGGAGGCATGGCCCTGCCAAGGCTCAGTCCTATGCTGGACATGTAGCCATGAGCCAGCAGCACCCAGAGGCACTCCTCTCCCTTTTTCAATTCCCCATCTGCCTTAATCCCACCATGCAAATGCTGAACGTGAGGCACTGGGAAAGCAGCTTAAACAGCACCTAAAGCTAGCTCAACTCAAACTGCTGTAAATAGATTAATTTGAAAAAATCAATTGAGCTCTGCAGGGGCAGATTTTCCAATAGAGATGCACATCAGCACTCTGGTGTCTGCTCCCATCTCCTCTCTTTTGTGGAGAGCAGTGTCCCCACCCTGCCCTGATGTCCCCAGCTTGTGTTCAGCCACATGTGGGGCTGTCCCACGGCCACCCCAACCCCCTCCCTGTACAGCCAAGAATTGACTTTGCTGGGGAAAGGAGTGCTGCTCCTGAAGTGTGGTGGCGTGGGACATTTGTGGGCTGCTTGGGAGTGCTTAGGAAGCCCCAAGTGGTGATGCTATTAAATATGATCATAAGCACGTCTGATCTCTGGCCAGCACCAAGCTCTGCTGTTTCCCAAAGTCTCCCAGTTTGGATCTGAATCTGCATTTCAAAGCCACGAGTGCTTGGCTCTGAGCTCTCAGTCTGTTACAGCTGTCAGCTCTGTTGAGCCTGGGT